CGGTTTGGTTGGTAGTATATCGTCCAGTTCTGGTAACCGCCCCGGTGCCCTCGCTTTCTTAGCTGAGGTCGACCTCGAAACCGGCCGATCCTTCTTTGCGGTAGTATGTGTCCTGACATCATATGTCCCTGCTATCCTGTCCAGCTTCTCGTGGATTTTGGTTATATCGTGCTTGCATCTGTTGCTGTCTCCTGGCTTTCTCGTTTCTCTGCTCTTTTCTAAGGGCATATATCTCGCTCTGTAGGTCAATCAACGTAATGCCAATCTCCGTCATGGTGAGTGGCTGGACATGAGCAAGGCCTCGTTTCCTTGCAGGCTTGAGTTGACTCTGTTCCTCCGCATTGGCCGGGGAGTGCCACTCCCCTTGTCCGGCACCTGAGACCGTTTGCGGGTCTTCACTACCCTCCACCGACATGGTAGCACCTTTCGGTATTGGTTCCGATCGGTGGTCAGGTGGGTCGTTGGTGTGTTTACCATCTCCTGGCTTTGTATTTAGATCGTTTTGTTGTTGAAAAGTCTGTTTGCTTCTAGCATTGCACGCTCTCTGCTGTACTCCCGTTAGCCGGGGCGGGCGTTCGTATGGTTAAAAATAGTTAGAGCCAGTGGGTTTGAGGCCCCATCAACCTGTTCCATCTTTCTACATGTGTTCGGTTAGCCTGTGCAGTGATAGTGCGGGGTTGCGTGACCTTATGCTACATCCGTCACATTGGTCTTCCTCCGTCTCCTTATCAGTGTCAGGGCATACATGGCGTATATAAGCGCTGGAACCACTGAAGTGCTTGTGGCAGCCAGTGCACCACACAGGGTTGCCTTTCGCCCCTGTGGTTTGATTGTGTTCTCGTTCGTCATGTCTACGCTTGGCCTGGGTAGTCGTGAAATGCTTGTCGCAAGGGACACAGGTCATCAACTGCTCCTTGACCGCAGCTAGGGTTCGCTCCCTTATGTTCATTGTTGTTCGCTGCCCATCTGCTTCTTCCGATTCATCACTCATCCTTTGCTCAAGGCATCGTATCCCGTCATAGTCGTGCTTGCTCTTCTTGAAAGGGTCGATGTCCTCGTCGGCGGGTTTCCTACATTCGATCATGTGAACTGACAGTTCCGGGTTCATCATCAGTTCGCCGCATGCCTTACACGACATCGGCGCTTGCTCCCCTGTGAGTAGCACCTTACATCGATGCACCCTATAGTATGTATGCGGCAATATTCTCTTGCATCCGACACAAAGTATCGGCAGGGCTTTCGGTATCTGATATTCAGCAGCGTGGCAGTACCTGTAATGCTTCCTCATCAGGTGTCTGTCATGCTGCTCTTGTTCGCAGTGTAGACATATTCGCAGCCTATCGCGGACTTGCCTCACAACGTCCTTCCTGAACTGTAAAGTTCTGAGAGTTACTTTTGGTCCAGCCATCTCAAAGTTTTCTAGCTGTATATCCCCGGATGATGTTCCAGTAGATGCACTGAGTATTCTGGGTTCGCTAGCGTCACTTCGCCGCACTCCGGGCACGCTTTTTCGGCTAATTCGCCACGCGGTGTTCCTTTACATTTGTGTTTAACATAGGTTGCCGCGGTCTTAAATGCAATATTACAACCAATACAAGCTACCGGTAGTCCTTTCGGCCTCGTTCTCTCCGGATGGTAGAGGCTCTCATGCCGACGCAGCGCTTGCGATGACTTCAGTTCCTTGTGGCAGAGTTTGCAGTAAGATTGCTCTCGCCGTATGGCTTCCTCAGTGTCCTTCCTCATCCTGTCAGCCCTGTCCCGCATCAATTCAGCATCCCGCCTAGGCGTGATCTGGTGAGGGTTAGCGCTTGCTTGACATCTCTTCTCCCTAGGCGTATGCGGCCTTAGGCTGTCTTTGGCTCTCTTGAGAGTTTGATTGGTGCACGTACTATTCACAGTATCCAGCCTTTTGACAGGCATAGGTTTCAGGAGCTCGCGGATCTTCTTTGCAAACTCGAAAGCTCCTGTATTTTGCCTGGACGGTATCAGCTGTCCGGTGTACTTGACACAGTGTATTAGGTGGGCAGAGAGTTGAGGATTAGCATAGCATTTTCCGCAGCCCACGCACTCTGTCGTCTTGAATTCTTCGGTAGGTGCCTTCCTGCATCGGTGGTCTCTATAGTAAGGCTTAGTCATCACTCGTTTGCAACCAGTGCAATAACATGGGTCGTCTGGTGGTGGGCGATAGAGGCCTGGGTGTGCTGTAGTAAAGTGGGCCCTGGTAGCTTGCTTGGTCGTCTTCTCCATCCCACAGTATGGACAGGTCAGCTGGGCAAGTTCCACTGCACGAATGGTCTCCAGTCTCAGCGTCATGTTCGACGTGTTCGGTGGATGCTTATCTTGGCCGAAACCAGGGGTGGGTGGTGAGCATTCTAGTGTGGTGGCATATACATCTCTGGTTTCCTCATAGTCCAAATCCTCCCTCGGGCTTACAAAGTCTGTAGTGTCCGGTTCCTCGGTCAGTTTCAATTTCGGTATGAACGGCTTTCTAGTAGCAGGTTGTGGCGCGCCGTTCATCTCGGTTGTTACATGAAGGATGCTTGTACTCTGCCCCTGCTTGTGGAAATCACTTGTTTGAGCTATACTCAGATCCGCATAGGTGTCCTTCTGTAGCTCCCATGGTATTTCCGCCATCTGCTTCATTCTGGGTGTGAGCCCCTTGGTTATGTTCTCCACATGCTGTAGGATTGTTCTAGCTGACACCCCACTGGTGTTGCCCAGTACCTTAGCAAGTAGTTGAGTTGCTACGTCTGTCATCGTACTTCTTTGCTGTGGTGTAAAGGGTATCTCTCTCCAGAGGTACAGTAGGTGCGGTAGTATGACAGCACAGGCGCCGGTAATCCTTACCCTTGCAGCTAGCATTGAGGGTGGTATAGTTTTGACCGTATCTGCGAAAGTTGTGGCAGCTGCTTTCGCCTTTCTTATTCTGGCATCGACTTCGGGGTTCATGTTGAGCTTGTTGTCCAGTAGTATCCCCATCCATTTTACAGTGCGGATCTCCGTTGTGTCCATGTCTAAAGTAAGCT